ATTTCTTTTGTTGTTTCTCAGTACGTTTGTGCTTATGTTTTGAGATCAATCTCTTTTTCTCAGAGAAGGTGTGGTTATGGTATGGAATTCGGTGTAAATGGGGTGAAATATAGGTTGGTTTGTGTGAGGACTTGGGTGTAGGTGCTGGATGTAGCTTTGGATGCACGTATGTCTCGGTTGTCGGACTTGAGGGTTAGAGGATTTGGAAGTAAGGCCTATTCTTGCAGCTTTGCCTCGGTTTGTTGAACTCTGGAGATATATGAATATGGAGTTGGGATCCGTCTGACTACAGGAAATTTACTCGAAGTTGTCAATTCTACAGGTACATAGGTATTCAGTCGTGTATCTATCTCTTTACACGATGTTCACTCAAGATCGTTAATTGGTGGTATATGGGTATCGCGAATTTCTTAAGGGAACATCCTAGTAGCTATTTTGTGAATCTTGAGGTTCCAGTAATAGACATTATCACTTGTGTCTTTTCTGTAAGTGCTAGTTCATCATTTATGCTAAGTCACTGTCAAGTTTTACGCGTTCGTTGAAAGTGCAAAAATTCAGAACAGAAGTTCAGTCGAGATCTACGACAGTCATGTTCTTACAGAGATGGACATTAGTTTTGTTATTCCTGTCATTTGGTATCACTTTATTTTTTGTTGTAGACACACCTATATGCCGTCACCAAGAGCAATGAGCATGATTTGTTTCTTGTGTTCGAAAGTTATCAAATTTTGATGCATGTCGTTTAATCACTTATTTTAGTGCTGCATTTTTGAAACACTTTTAATAAATATCTGGCTTCTATATTCCGTTTATTACTGATAAGAATATCATTATGTTCATAGAAAAGAATGTACTTGAGGCGTATGACTAATGCATGAAAAGGACGATGTAAACAAAAAATAAAGTTTCACAGCATGTTCTCAGAAGAAGTTCAAGTGAACATCAGTACAATTACGTAATGATAGAGCAAAGGCAATTATCAGATGAAAATAGTTTATTAAAAATAGAAAATGAATAGGAAAAACATATGTTAATTTTTTTGTCATATTTTAATTGTCAGAAAGAATAGAATATGTTTAATGATCGAATTTTTCAACTATTTCAATAGTTAAATTTGAATCACTATGTTGCTCTTATGTAGGTTTGATCTTTTGGTTCAATTTTCTGCCTATAGATAAATCAATTAATGTTTGATCATTTTCGATATTCCCTACATCGTTGATAGAAAAATATAATTGATTTTTTGAGTTATATTGACCCATGACATTGTTGCTGCGATTAATCTAAATAAAAAAAAAATGCAATACATTTGTTGTAAATTAATATTTATTTAAATTTGCAAGTAACCACAAAATATAAAATTTATGCATTCTTTCGTAATTTTTCCAGTATGTACTTGGAGACTTTTGTTTCGATTCATACGCACTCTCTAAAAATCAGAGAATTCCTCTAGAAATTTCTTGGAAAGGCAATCAGGAGTTGTTGAAGATTGGTGTTGTAACTTTCAGATGACTTACCGGTGATTCTGCAAGTGACCATTGACTAGACAGTGATGATCTAGAAGAGATACACCCTAACCAAAACTTTATCTAGGAATGATGCAATGAAATGTAGATGAGCCATTCAAATCTAATTGTCATCGTTTCAAGTATATCCCATGATAAACTAAATAATTATTACTTTTAACTTTAATCAAATTTCGCAATAATGTTATCATAATTCTCTTTCATAGAATATAAAAAAAGAACCCAACGTCTTCACAGGTAGTTCACCTCGAATCAGCTTTGTCTAAATTAAATTACTTCGAGATTTTTTTGTCTATAGATCATTATCTCTTGATGTATTTCAAAACATCATTTAATTGAGAATGAATCTCGGAAAAGTGGAAGTACAATATAATCAACAATACTGATTATATGTAGGTAAATGGGCAAAACAATACACTATATGATTGAGAAGCAACTCGTGTGTTACGTATTCTCCTTTACAGTATTGGAGAAATCGAAAACAAAATAATGATCTTACGAAAAAGGTATTTCTTGAAAGATTTTCACTTTGTTGATACATTATTAACTGAAATCGATTATGAACTATTTAAATTCATTCAAAATAGTTTTTTTTTACAATAAATAGTTCTTCATAAAATAAAAAAGAATCAGTAAAACGAAATAATCTGTTTTGTTTTCGAAAATAAATATATAAATTCCAAAGAAAAAGAAAATCTGATATCTATTTGTGTCAAAATATTGGAAAACAATAGAAAAAAATTTATATATGATCTTATTTTCTCTATCTCATATCTTATTGCTCCTCAGTACGAAAATGATATTTAGCTCAATGTGTCGCTATTATAATTATTTTGTGAGTTGTTTGAAGTCATGCAAAAGTCTTAAGAAGAAGCTAGTCTGTTAAATCAGAAATTTCTCAGAAAATTACTGAACTTGATTTGGTAGATCTCACTTATTTGTATGCTCTCATTATTCAATCTACAGTTTACTCTCTAGAGAGAAAATACCGAAAAAAAACAACACCTATAATATAACTAAATATATGACGTCTACGAACTGATATGTGAATTTTAGAAAGTATTCTTTTGCCCTGAATGCATTTACAAATATTTGAAAAAGTATTTGCCATTGTTAAAATATTATCTCCGTATCTCAAAGAAAATATATACTGATGACAAGTTGAAAACAAATTGCATAATATGAAAACATTATATAAAGCATAAAACAATCAAAAATTCTTACTATATTTGTCTGCATCATATAAATTCTCTGAAGTTTTCTTAATATTTTTTTTATCTCGTCGTCTCGTACTGTTCGATGTGCAACAAATTGTTAATATAGACTTAATTTATCAAACCTATTTTCTATATCTTGTTTTCGCAATCAAACAGCATCAGCAAACTATTGCAAAGTTGAAATTACCATTTGGCTCGAGGGTAATGAACATAAAGTCATGGTTATGTCCGATTCATTAGGATATATCGTGAGAATGTAGGTGTTGGTGGATTGTGAGGGAGGTCTTGCTTTCATCCACGTCCTTAAGATATACGTTTTTATTAGTCTAATTATTAAAAAAAAGTAAGAAATGAGTAAAGTAACTGAATACATAGATAAACAAATTCATTGAAATTCATATAACCTAAATCCTATGAAAAAAAAACCATTCCAAAAATGTAATACCGGTCATACTACAGTACAAAACTCAGCGTATTTCATACGACAAAAATGTTAATAATAACTGTTGATAAACTACACTACATTCTGATTGACACAAGATCATCGATTCCGGAAGCTATTTTTTCGAGATTACACTTGACATATATTGATGTTTATCTTAACACCAAATAGAAGAAATGAGACTGACGATTTGAATGAGAACAAAAACGAGATGGTCTGTGACGAGTTAGACTGATAATAAAAGTTGACCCTATGAGACTACAGCATTCGTCTAGTACAATTAAAATCGGTTGTACGTTATAATAAGATAAATCTAATAAATTTCAATAGTCTTTCATAATTATCTGCTAAAGTATATTTTGATGGATTCATAACATGCTAATAATTTTCGCTTTTTTATGAAACTAATTAATAAATAATACGATGAACAAATATCAAGATAATTTATCAAATTTGAAGTTACAACAGCATTTTCCATATAAAACGATCAATGATTACTAGACCACAGCTTAGAATATAAGTCGTTTTCAAGAAAAAATCTGGCAACATTGATGGAAATTATTACTAGATAAATTTGTTTTCTTCTGAAATCAAATCAAATATCGGTAAGATAAGACAGAAGAACTCAGTCCTAATATAGTATTCCAACATTGGCATCGGCAAACTCATCAATTCGATGATCACACAGTTCCGTCTGGATGATTCAACTTTTGATATCAAATTTAACGCAGACATGAAGTTTCAATTTCAAATATTTCGACTTCAAATAACTAATTAATTCATTTTAATATGCATTCCTTTGTTTTATAAAGAAGAAGAATATCCCTACTTTTCGTCTATGCTGTGGCATGGGGCACTGTTCAGAAGTAGACTCAATAGCACACTATTTTCTTTACAACTAATACTAACTGTAGTTCTAGATAGAAGACTATCCTGACACAGAGTTCTTGCGCTTAATTGCTTGAGTTTTTCACACAAACTAACTGACCACATACTAGCGACAAGAGCAGATGTATGTCACAACGTAGTCAGCATGCTATCGAACGGATAATCCGAAGCAAACAGCTGTTACTTATTTGTTTAGAATCATCCGTTGGCTAGTGGCATTGACGTTTGAATATAATTAGTACCTTATAGATATATGTTGAACAACATAGTCACTCAGCCATAGCTGCTCTAATTATCTTTTGGCAGAGTCTAACTTCATGTTGAATTCTAAACAGAGTGATATTGCAATTATTTGACACATCTATATATGCTACAATATTGTAGGAAACTATTTTGAAAATCACAAACAGATAACGTGAATTCTTGGCTACGAACGTATTTCTCATTAATGTACCATGATTAACTATATATTAAATTCTATACGTATCAAATATGAAGTATATGATCATTCTAGTTTTATTGATTACGAAATTTTTTTCTTTGTTGATTTTATTTGTAACAATAAATGGTAGCGGAAATAATGTATCATATGAAGAAAAGCAAAAAAAAAGACATCATCAGACTGAGAAACAAAAAAATAATTTAAATACGACTAATGATAATAAATTGATGAAGTAATATCAAAAAATAAAGACACAATCTTGAATGTAAGTTCCAACTAATATGGTTCATTGCCATCTAGATTGACAAACAGATTTGATAATTCTCATGAGTTATATCATGAATGGGAAAAAAAAGCATATTGTTTAAAAATAAAAACAAATTCTTTATATATACCGTTGTTCAAAAACATTTGATGACCTTGAAACATTTATGATTTCAATACATGTAAAATAATTGATTTCAGATCATTTTTTCTTGTTTTATTTAAACATCAAGTGTATGAAACCACTCATAACAAAAATTAGTATATTCTTTTATATCAAAATGTCCATTGAAAAAATTACATGAAATATTTAATTCAAGTAACATCAATGGCCTATCTTCATTTGTCCATGCAACATCCCAACCAATAATTGGAACATTAGGACATAATTTTGCATGTGCTTGACAAGTACATTGAATCATTTCATTTACATTTGGCCATTTAATTCCTTCAATTCGTTCATGAGAATCAGGATGAACTGAATAATTCTGTTCTTCCCATATAGATTTTGTATCAAACGACTTTAAACCAGTTTGATACCAATGACGATTTGTTGTTCCACTTGACAGACGATGTGAAGAATTAAAATCAATATTATAAAAAATTGCATTATGATCAGTTTTTTGTCGAATACGACCAGCACGAAAAACCATTGTTTTCACTTTAATTGATGATGATGAAGGGTCACGTGAAGTTATTACACGTACCGTCGAAAGTGGTGCATCCGACGTTACAAGATGTTGAATAAAATCACTATTTGAAAATACTTTTTGAATTATCCAATCGCCATAATTTCTAAAATAATTTCAATTTACATTTTTTATTTTTATAACAATTTTTATTTTAAAATTACGTAGCAAAATTATCATACACATTAATTCCCATTCCACCTTCGATTGATTTATGTTTAATCATAATACGAGGAATATCTAATACGGGTGTTACAGGTATATTTAATTTTTTTCCTTCAATCAAAAATCGACCTTTATCTTCCATAGCATATTGTTCTTTAGTTTGTTTCCATTTTTTATAAGAATGATAAGCAACAATAGTACAATTGATACGCCATGTTGCAAACCAATGATTTGGTTTTAATAATTGTTCATAAAAATGTTGATCAATAGATTTTTTTCTTGGATCATAAATTGATAAATAGATAGAACCAATAAATGCCCATAATGGATAAATAAATATTAAAAAAAATAAACAAAAAATTTTATTTAAACAAAATATTGAAAGTGGAATGCCAGTAAATGGTACAATAACATTACGTAAATTAGCTCGTAAGTCATCACCATAACATTTTGCTCGATAATGTGGAAAAGAAAAAAGACGAATTACCAAAACAAGTGAATATATATGAACTAATATACGACGATCAATTTCAGTAGTAGAATATGTATTAATACCTTTTCCAGAATATAAATAATAAAAAAATATACGATAATAAAGTAAAAGTGTTTGTCCAATTGACATATTTCGATTGCTTGATATTTTATGAAGTGAATGTATCGCTGTCATTGTAAGAACGAAAAAGAAAGTCAACGTCCAATAGAATATATATATATGCCTCAAATCGAATGTCATACATCGTCATTATTACCATGCAACTATGGAGGCGAAAAATGATGAATGGTTCTACTTCTATAAATACCCTAGATGATAATTTTTTTTTGCGATTCTTATCCTTTTTATACACTTGAAATATGACGTGCTTTTGTCAACAAATACAATAATCTATTATCAAATAATTGTTGTACTATGACGTTTTTGTTTTTTCTTTTTTTTTTATCTTCATATTTTATTATATATTTTGAATTATTAAGCATAAAAAGTGGTTTCATTGTACTTGCATATTTTTCTATTCATTATTACATACAAAAAAAAAAACAAAAAGAACAAGTTCTTGTTAATTAATAAAATCCTATGTCAAGGTTATTGATTTAATAATAAAAAATTATCATTGTGATTAAGAATAATTAATTTTAACATTTTCTTTAATTTTATCAGAATACGAAATGTAATAAATAATCTTATTTTAATTAATTTCTTTCTTTTAAAGAGTATGTATGAAGTTTTGACTGAATAGGACATTTTTGTATTATTAAAGAATTCTTTGAAATCAATTAAAAATAATGGTATTATTGAAATCAAGCTAATGTACTATTATTATAATTGTTACTTGATAAATATTACAAGAGGAATTATGATCTATAAATAAAATACAAAAAAACAAAGCATTCTATAAAAGTAATTATCTTAATATTGGCCGATTATCGCTCTCTATTCTTATGTATTATGAATGTTATTTGCAGCAATGTCTATTTTATTTATTTCTGTAACTTGTTGGTTCTTATTAATGATGAAAATAAGAAGATACTACTTGTTTTTCTTTTCTTTTTACTTGTCATCTTTATAATAAATTCGATTTGCTACAAAGGCATACTTCATTTTGTTCCATTGACGTCAGGATAACTTGTTTCATCATATCATTAGGAAACGAAGCGTCTTTTCTTTCTTTTTTTTACTGAAAGTTTTATTTAGTGTAGTTTTATTCACCGTAAATATGTGTATATACGCATTAAAATATTATTTTCTTTGATTCTTTTCCGTACAACGACACAGCTCGAGAGAAAGAAACTAAATGCAATTAGTCTCTTTTCCGGTTTACACTAACAAAGTTCTGTTTTGATTTACATGAGTAGGTGTAGAAATATAAAGAATCAACTATTCCAATTCCTTTTTTTTATGAGAATATTAATCATTTTCTTATATATTCAAAATAATTTTTTTCTAATAATAATTTCTTTCATAGATAATTGAAATTAATTGTATAGTCGCTTTTTTTTTCTACTCTAAAATAACTATCATCATTAAAGAATTTGACTTTTAAATATTATGGTTAGAGACATGAGCGATGCCGGATATTAACTTAGTAAAATATTCAAATTAGAGAAGATACATTATTCTCTAATTTCTTTTACCATTCTGATGTTATATTTAAAATCATAAGCCAGCTGGTTAGGTTTTCTTTGCATTTGATAAACTATGTCAGTTTCTCGTTTTTTTTTCTTCATATTTCCCTCCTCCTCTTCCTACGATGTTCTTAGATTTTTTTATTATTATTGAACTTGTTTGCATTCATCTGCATTTATTTATAATTAATAAATGCAAGTATTTATATTGGTTTGTTAACATTCTTATCTACAGAGTTCTTTAAATTAAAAATTGTCTATGTTGATGTTTTTAGCTAACTTGCTTTGTCAAATAATAGATAGAAATGAATAAAGACAATTTTTATTGAATAGATTGGGGATAGAAAGTGACAGAATACAGATAAAGATTGTAGAAAGATGACAGAAGATAAAAGACAAATAGTCGAAAAAAAGGAAAACCATAAAATCAAATTCCCAAGTGTAGACATTTTGACAATTCATCTCTAAATACGTTTTCCTATTATTCATAATATCACGTTTTTTTTAATCTTTCAAACATGAAAACAAGTTATTTTTTTAAACATCAAATTATTGTTTACTAAGTAAATTTTACAACTTTTTAGTTTCATAGGTTCTTCAAGCATCTAGTATATATTATAGATTTCTTATTTTTCTTTGACTTTATTTTTTAAGTGTCTGTCAATATTAAAGAAGGTAATGGATCAATAAATGAGAACTGTAGTACATGATTTATAATTGATATTCATGATTTTCATGAAAAGATTTTTTGAATATATAAATCAAAATAATCTATTTTTTTGTCGTAGAAAAAAACAAAATGTTTTCATATCACTTAGATAAGTCATATTATTTTAGATATTATACTCGTATTAATTCAAAAAATAAAATAGAAAAATGGCCTTATTAATTTTAATTCTTACAATAATAAGTATATTTCTTCTATCATTAGCAATTATTTATGCCTTAATTTATTTTCGAGAAAATTTGAAATCATCATCATCTAGTTATGAAAATCAAAGATTAACATATTCAACACAACCATCAATTGATATAATACCAAAAAAATTAATATGTCCATTGAATTTTTCAAATCATCGTAATTTATCAAATATAAATTTAAATCAACAAAAATCCAATCAATTACGTTCACATAGTTTAACAAATAATTTATTTATAACAAAATGTTCATATAGAAGACGATGTTCAATTATTGATTCAAAACAAATTGCACAAATTGAATTTTCACTACCACCAACAGCTGAAAAAATTCGTCGTCGATCTGTACCTATTTGTAATAATATAAATGAATCAAAACAAAGTACAATTGATTCAATAATAAAAACAATTAAATTATCAAATCAATTTTTACCATGTCTTGCATCATTTTCAATAATTTATTATAAATCATCACAAATAAAAATTTATTTTCATTCTTTAACATCATTACCATCAACAATTCAACTTCAACAATTAACAATTCAAGTTAAATTAATTCCTGATGGAAAAATTAAATATTTTTCAATAAAAAATATTTTAAATAATAAAAATATTTTTGCACAAGATAATAATGAATATTTAATTCAATTTTCAAATATATTATTAACTAAACTTCATAATAAAACAATATTAATGAAATTTTATGGAAAAGATCAAACAAAAAAAACAATTGAACTTGGACAAATCGGAAAAATTTATTTTAATCAAATAAATAATTTTGAAAATGAACAATCAATTCATTTTATACATGAAATTGAAATTATCAGAATAGTAAGAACAAAAATTTTTCCTTAATGAAACTTTTATTTTTTTATAAATATTTTTAGTCATCAATCGAAATACTTGTTTTACTTGAACAAAATAATGATCATCATTTAACTGTTGAAATACAACGTATTAAAGGATTAAAAATTGATCAAAAAAATTCTAGTTTGTTTCTATAATTGAAATATATGCTTTTTCTTTTTAAACAAAATATAAATTTGTTTAGTAGCCACTTGTTATTTTCAAGTAATTCTTCTCGATCGTCATCGGCGATTATCAACTCATCAAACAAAATTTTATCGATTAAATTCTTCAACATTTTCTCTTAATGAATCATTTAATATTAATATTTTAGCATTTAATTCAAATAATCTCGATCGTATAATGATTATGATTAATTTATATTCTAATACAAATAATACGAATGAACATCGATGTGTAGGTCGAGTTAAACTTGCTTCACCATATTTTTGTTCTGGTAGTGGTACAATTCATTGGCAGCAATTTAAACAACGACAATCATTTTCTATGTGGCATAAATTAATCAAACAAAATTAAGAAAAAGAACAAGAGAACATCTGTAGATTTTGAAAATAGAAAATAAATTGTGATAAGATCCGGTCCGAATATAATAACATATGATTAATTATTTGTTTGAAAACATTTGTTCTCTTCAACATATATGGTTTTGAATTTATATATATATATATATATATATCCTTTTTAAACGAATATATGATATCTATAAGTATTGAATAGAACAATACTTCGACTTGAAATATTCTTGTAGAATATCATTAAGTAAAAGAACAAATACATGAACTTCATTTAATTACATATTTACGGAAACTATTTGAAAATGAATTATTCTATGTTAATAAAAGGTTAATTTTTAGAAAGAAGAGGACTACATCTGATTTTTAGTAAATAATTGATTAAAGTTGCGTGTTATGAACTAGTCAGACATAATAAATTTTTCAACGCGTACATAAAGAAAGTATAAATTAATGGCTTTATATTTTATTTTAAGCGTATAGACTTCAGACAAAAGTTTAATATGTTTTTCTACTATTAACGAAGAATGTCAAATGTTTTACGGTTGCAGAAGTAATAATAAAGAATTTCTCTGACACCGTAAAATATCGGATGAGACAAAATATCTGCATTAATTTTATTTTTTTATGTATTATTGCAATGCAATATAGCAGAGACTTTATCACTTTTTTTTTATTAGCAAGAGCAAAATGTCTAGTGCAAAAATATATAAAAGAACTTGATCAGAAATGTTTCCTAAGGGTCCAAAAAATCTTAGAATACAATATATAAGAAAGTTGTTTCGTAACTTTGATTTTTTAATTTAGAAAAAACTTCACACGATACAAAAGTTTTTATTTATCTTCTTCTTTTCCCAAATTGTATAATGTTAAGATAGAGAACTATTATTGTACTAAAAGAACAATAGAAATATTCGATGTATTTTATAAACTGTTAATATAAACGCTATTAAGCACCATCTGCTGTCCATCAATTTTTTGTATCCAGTAGCTGCTGTCAAAGAAAAACGCAATTTCATTCTGAAAGAGAATTTACTAGAAGATACAGTAAGTGCCATAAGTGGACCCGCGCTCTTTTTGATATTAAACAATGACTTTTCTTTTATCTTTTTACTTTGTTTGGACGGACTATTCATAGTCATCATCGCATATAAATAGGAACATTTCTATTGCGTCTTTTATCAATTTATAACTCAATCAAAAAAGCGACATTTCTATAAAGAAAAGATGGGAAATCGTATTTTTATTACGACACACGTATGGCCCACACATGTCAAATGCTGATATTTCACGGTATTCATATGAATCAGTGAGTAATTGTAAAATGTGCCCTTAAAAGATGTGAAATTGCTGGTGACGTAGAATTTGCATAAAAATCCGGTCTATACCGGAAAAACAGTATGCAACGATTCAATCGATGGTAGCTCAACATTCAATCGAATCTGTCGGTCAAATTGCGTTTAGATTATCACAGAAAGATATAGAAATTAGTAAAACTACATTAAGAAGAAGATTTAAAGAGGTTAGCTTACATTTAATGAAACCGATTTCGAAACCGACTTCGAAACCGTTGCCAACAATTGACGATATTTTAAAAAAGACTCCAGCAAGATATAAAACTTAAAGACTGTGACTCACGTGAAAATGACTGGGCATTAATGAAGAACAGAATAAACAAAGAACCGTATATATTGATCAATAATTTCATTGAAACAATAAAGAAAAGAATGGTAAAATTTATCTATTGAATTTGCTGAAAAATTAGTCGATTCTATGAAAAATAGAGTAGAATCGTTAATTGAAAGAAATCATGACTATATATAAATTATTACGATGATGTACATATTATGTAGATTTTATAAATAAAATATAATAAAATAACTCTTTTGTCTTCCTCATTTTTTTAATCGTGTCCACTTATGGCACTTACTGTATATATTGTATATAAAAAAAGAAATTTTATCGAGTTCTCTACTAAACAGTATTATTTAGAATAAGACAATTTTTCTCTTTGAAATATTCAAACAAAACTTTGTTTTCGTATTTTAAATACTAAATTGATTGTTTTGTAATTAAACTATTTGATGTTCAATCTCTTGTATGCTAGATCAATTGTTTTAATGCTACATGAAAGTCATCGTTATAACAAAAACAGTGATATGTATAAATGATGTTGGAAAACGCTGAAAGTCGAGAATCAAAAAGATTAAATAAATATATTCGGATACAAAAATTGTTACCATAAAGTTAGATAAGAGCTTCACAATACCTTTAATTCTAAAGTTTTTGTGACTTTCAGCAAACATTTTCGATCAGATTCTTTTATATATTTTTGCGCTAGGCATTTTCCTCTTTTGCAATAAAAACAAAGGATCAAGTCTCTATAACATTTCATTGTAACGCTACATCAAAAACAAATTTAATTTAAAACTTTTATTCTACCCGTTAGAATCATCATCGGATTATTCTGAAGCTATAAGATGATTGTTTTTTGTATTAATACGACATGATGTTGCTGCTTGGAATTCCTTTTTGTAAATAAATAAATGTTTAACTCAACAATAGAGAATCTCGTGGAAAGGCAACAGTTCTGAAGCTCAGAAGAAATAGCAAAATTTCAAAGTTAGAAATATAAACCGATCGACTGACATGTCGTCATTGCCGAAAGTCAAAAAATAACTACTATTAAATTTCGCTGCCATCGTCAATCTTTCCTTTCACTTACGCCCTTATTAAAATTTACGAAATATAGAGACAGGCGAAGTCAATTTTAGTTTGGATCTGTGAATTGAAATAACAAGATCTTGTGAAGTTTTTACTATTCACTTATGTCAAAACAAAGTACTGCATTACTTGACTGAAATAATCCGAATAGCAGAGACTTAGGAATTTTTAAAATTTTATGTAGTGATGTCACGAAAGAATCAAAAGATCTAGTCCCTCACATCTTTATCGATAAAGTATTCTGTTTTTTTGCTTATTTAGAGTATACATACAAATGTCATTTTGTTATTATACTATTTGTTTAGTATTATTTAATCAAACAAATGAAGTTATATCTGGAATTAATTTGTCATTTTGTTTTTGATAAAATTAGTCATCTGATGAAGATTTTTTTTTCTTAAAATTATAAATAATATTAAGGAAGATTATGTGAAATATTTGCTTTTTTACAAATATAATATATCACGACATAGTTTTATGTAGTTAAAGTTAATTTATAAAACATTATTTACTTTTCAAAACGTAATATAAATTAATTTCAGCACTTCTACACTTCAACTGGGTAGTTGAATTAAAATTAGTAAACTGGTAAGTTTCTTAAATAAAATGCCTATTTCTCTTACGAAAATATTTGATTGGTTAAATACAAAATACGCATTTTTTCTAGTTATTGATTTGCGATAAAAGAGTCTTCTATCAATGATAACAAAAAAGAAAACCATACGTTAATATTCTCATCAACGAGATTATATAGTATTGATGATATAAAAGCAGTAGTTGTCTCTCGTCATCTTTCAATCAGCTTATAACTGTCACCATGAAAGGTAATTTAGTAAAAAAGTTTTCATAATATTTTAGTTGATTTATCATTTATTTTAGTTTACTGTATTAGCCTTATTCTTCTATTTTTCTCATTGTTGGGAATAATTTCATCTCAATCTGAAACGATTAATGATGAACAACAACTTATCAATGAAGGACGAATATTACCAGCTTTAGTAACAATTGTACCTCGACTTGTAGCTGCTTTAGGACCACGGGTTTATCTATTCGTTACATGTATGGGTGCAGATTTTACATTACAATGTGGCCAAAAAATGCTTGATTGTTCCACACGTGGAAAGGCTCCTTGGGATTGTATTGGTGGTCTTACATGCAGTGGTAAATCAGCTTTAAAATGTGCCAGAACAGCTGGTTAAAATAATTATCACTCATCTTTTTTGTAAGATGAACTATAATAATAAAAATAATATCGATATGTCGAATTATTAAAAAGATTGTAAAATAAGAAGATCTATATTCAAGTCTTAATAATTTTACAAAATTTTTTCAAAATCTTTTTTGATGAACACTTCATCTGTATGAAGTCTGTTCTTTATTTTTTTATGCTATTAGAGTATTGATGAAAAGTTGTGCTTTTTTTATGATGCAATAGAAAGAGAAGTGTTATTGTTAGAAGGGAATGCTATGAAATAAGACCATATATATTAAAATAACAAGCATCAATTATAGAACTCACTATGAATCGAATCTAAAGTAAAAGATTTGGCCTATTCGGTTCGATCTTTCATTTAAAAAAAAAATTAACGAAACTGAAAAATATTGTATTGAAGCCAAACGAAGTGAGCTTGCATGATATAAAAATACATAAGATGGTGAAAAAAGTTTAACAACAATGTATTTTTGATATTTGTCTATAATATAAAGTACCTAGCTCAAATCCAGATAGTGATTTTAATAACCAATTGAGTTTTCTATTTAATGCATTCTATACCAAGACTTCATATGTGAACTATGGTGGCAAGGTTTCTGAAGAACCGAATACAGTAATTTCCAGATCTCAGAAGACTTTGTCAGAGCTATTTTTAACAAATGCATTTTAAGTAGTACAAAATATTGAACAAAATAAGGGATCGCCATATTTTCTACGACCTTCGCTTAAAAACTTAGATGCATCACAAAAACCGTAAAAAAAATGAAATTTACCAAAAAATTGTTCAACAGCAGCCTTTTTTCTGTTTTTTTTATGCATTTAAGTTTTCAAGCGAAGGTCGTAGAAAACGTGACGACTCCTTATTTTGTTCAAAATTTTATGTTCTTTAAAATGGCATTGTTAAAAAATAGCTCTAGCAAAGTCTTCTGAGATCTTGAAATTACCGTGTTCGGTTTTTTTTAGAAATCTTACCATACAAAATCTTGGTATAGAATACATTAGATAGAAAACTCAATTGGTTATCAAAATCACTATCTAGATTTGAGCTAGGTGCTTCACATAAAAGAAAAATATAAAAAATATATTGTTGTTAAGCTTTTTTTCTACGACTTTATATTCCAGAAAAATATGGTATAATAGATTTTGAAGAGTAATGTTCACCAAAAAACTCAACAGTGTATCTGTAAGATATAATTGAATAGGTTTATCATTCAATAACTTCAATTACAGTCAATGTGCAACATGAATTATCTTTTTATTCTTTTACTTTTATTTTGTAAATACGATAAACTATTGCTACACTAGAATAAAAATAGTAGCATATTTCAATCATAAATAAACATTATTCTCAATAGTTGACATTCGAGACACTATCAACTAGCAATTTTGTAACCCTACAAAGTAAAAATCTTTTTGTTGAAATATCAAAATCCTTTAAACAATATACATGTTCATGCACATGAATTGAATTGTGTTATCAATGAGCTGTGACTATTTCTATTGTGAATAGCCAGAGATTTTCTGTACATGCGATATATCCGTAATCATTATAGTTTATTGAAAACTTGCTATTCCAAAATAGTTTCTTTTAACAATATCGAGATTCTTCTCATAAAGTTGCAAATCAATGTGCTTTGACAATAGTAAACGCTGTCCAGTATTTACAGTATGATCTTTAAAAGAACGTGTTTTTGGATACTCATTCATCTCAAAATACACATTACTAATTTTGTTGTAGGATAAAACTACATCAAATTTATCTAGAGGATGAGTTTTCTGGTCAATTGATCGTGTTTTTTCACAAAAATTTAATTACCTCTGTGTACTTTCTTTGGTTATTTTTGGATAATTCAAGTTGATGGTACAATGTTCGCTTTTTCATAATCATCAGATGCTTGTTTCCGCATAGTGGCGTAGATTTATTGTACCATAACCAGTTCGGCTATTTTAAGTACAGATACATTGTCGAAATCATCCTTTCGAATTTGGAAACATTTCCTCACAGATATGCTCGGTTAAAGTGCAACGCTCTTAATTATTTTCACTAGTAACTATGAAATCTGTCCACCAGAATCGATTGTTTTCACTCATCGATTTAATATCACAGATGCGAAAAAAAGAAGTATACGGCTAGAAAATAGAAAATTTCGTCTTCTATATCTTCGTCATAATTGACATTAATAATCAAGAGAAAGGAAGTAATAGTTTTATAAGAATCAATTACCACTAGAAGGAACAACATCTAACTAGTCTAGATTAGAAAAATCACGACGAGCAAAAGTACGAGACATGTTGTGTCCTTTCCTCAGAAATAAAAAGTTATGAAAGGACACAAGTTCATCTTTTGTCTTCGACAGTTGCTCAAAATCTATATTTCGCAAACTTTGACCTCGATAGATAATAAACGATTGTGCGAATGGATGGCTACCAAAATGTTTTTTATACAAGCTTTCGATACTGCAATAAAGGTCGCTAACGAACAAACCCATTCTAATTATAATACTGGTATCCATAACTCAAAAGGCACAATTGATCATTGAATATCAAAAATATTGATCCATGTACCATCAGAAAAGTAGTTTATCACAGTACTCTAATAACCTCCTATATATTGACACAATATGCGAGCAAACAGAATGGATCATTTTTGAATGTTCCTTCGATAGTAAACTCCTGGAAAGATATGGAAAGAATTTAAATAAAATAGATGAGGCAAATTCTATGCGATTTATTACTAGTTTTAAAACTCTTGTTGCACATAAACAGGATGATTTAAAACGAAAATTGTATCTTATTTATTCATTTTACGAAGCAAAATTAATTGAATAAAGATATATAGATAATGTTTATTTTAGTCTAGCTAAACATGAATTACCTGTCATGAATTTTATACGATCAATAATTTCAACGAATCATTATGTTCTTTTACTAATACAAATTTACAAACACATAAGAAATAAGATTTAAATGAAACAATATTTAATAATGACTTATAGATTAGAGCGAAATTTATAAATATTGAATGTAGAGAATCTACTACAACTTTTTATCACAATTAAAATGAATAATTATCAATTAGGAGAATTTTTATTTGATTCATATTCGAATTATTACTCTAGCATGAACTGATTTCATCAACAAACTTCGTAGTATTTTGATCTATTGTACGTTTATAAGTTTTATTTTGTAATAATGATAAATGCAAATGTAAATCAAATACATTTGCGTACATGTAATCTTAATCGTTTAAATCGGATCACTATATTTCTCAATGACACAAAGATTAAAACTTCAATATATTGTTTCATCAGTGCAAATTTTAAGAATAGTAATTAAATAACTGTTTCTTTTATATGATTATCTCTCGCTAGTGTACAACTTATAAAAGAATAGTTTCAACAGATCAATCGCTTTCTCATCCAAAACTATTTGATTATGAGTTACTGACCATATTAATTTCGAATATGAGCATAAGAAATATCTCAGGTCTCCAAATACGGATTTTATGATAAAGCCGATTTTCCGGAATAACAAACATTTTGCCAAAGTCTTTTCGTGAACCTGCTCAGATCATTGACTATATAGGATGGTCTATAAGTCAATTGTCTTTTCTGTTTTCCAAAAAATTAGCTTCAAGTAAAATAATATCATCTTGAATATTTTCACATAGAAATGTTGATAAGTAACTTCTATATAGATTAAAACAGCTATATTTTCTCAAGAAAAAAAAAACAGTTTTAAACGGAAGAAATTACTTTTTTCTTGATAATGCAGTATGTTATACAAACTGGACAGATAAAAAAAACATCTTGTCCATATTCGCGATCAGCATGGTAGACAACTTGAAACCCAGTAGTTTTCATTAAAAAACCGATTGATTAGCTGAAACAATTTTCTTGTTAGTCAAATTTGATAGTTATATGAAGTTATTTCATGGAACACAAACGTAATTGATCACATTTTTGCAATTTGATCACTATAAAAATATTCTTTAGTAATTATAACAATCGTGTATAACAATGTTTTGTATATGTACAAATGTTGTCACGCAATAAGAAGACCATCGTCTTAACTCGGAAGGTGGATTTTTAATCCGACTAAATTTGAATTCTCAGAAACAAACCTCCTTCACGAACGTTATCTTATAATCGTTCATTATATAGACAAAATGTTTGAGTCAAATCTGTTGTGCATTAACATACTTTAATAACAAAACTTACATTCTATATATGAAGTATCGTATTAAGAAGAGAATTAGCTCGTAATGGTTTCCTGTCAAGTTTCACATTATTATCATTTTTTTTTCTGTAATGCGGTTCACGAAAACTTCTGTACGGGTCGTTTCTCTCAAAACCTAATAACTCCTGATCCATCAAGTTTATTATTTCGGTCCGAATCGATCAAAAAATAATGTCCAAGCTCTTTTGATCCACATGGATTTACGTCCGAGTGTGTAAATCCTTTTCAGTAGTGTCAAAATATAAAATACGGATAGACTTATTTGTGCATACAGAGGCGGGTATGAGTCGTGACGCAGATATAAATTGTTTAGTTACACGGGCAAATTTGGTTTTTACCTTTGAGTAATTAAACTCAACTTTCAAGTTTGACATATATGACAGATTCGGACGTATCGAATAGATGTTTAGGAAAGGACATATAGAAAAGAAAATGTTCATTGCTAAAGTATGATTTTATTTGAGATTTAGTCATATTTTAGCATTTTGTCTCAGAAAATGTTTGTTATTTTTTTTTATCAATATTTCTCAAAGAAATCTTAAAGTGAATTATATGACAATTCCAGAGCAATTCAAAAAACGATATATCATTCTGATTCGAATAAACGGTACAGCTTATTTTTTTTATTATTATACATTCATTGAAAATTAGCAGGTGAAGATTTTCCTGCAGACTTTATTAAAAGCTCAAAAACTAATCATATTCTTTATGTTCCTGTTTGCAAAGGAATATCAGAGATTTGGTAGTCATTTCAAAGCTCGAATCAGACATGCGTCAAACTCGAACTCTGATTCAGTGTTCAGACTGAACAGATCGCGTTCGGGTTTGATACAAAAAAGAAATTTTCTAATTTTGAGCTTTCTTGCATCACGCTACAAACTATTATGGCTGTAAACAACATATTTCAAAGTGACTAATAGAATAGATTGTATCAATACTTTTAAATGAGTCAAATAACTACAATATACAGAAGAGAAGACCACTTGGCAAATATAAGACAACAGACAATTGTTCGTATCAAAATGTTTTTTTAGTAGACGGTGTGAGAAGCAAAAGAGTGAAATGAGAAAACATGCAAAAGGATAAGAATACATCTGTTGGTTCCAAACTGTTTTGACTATATAAGAGTGGATCCGAATCTTCGAACTTGATACATGTCATACTCAAGTACATAGCTGAACTGATCAGTCCAATTTCAAGTCACGAATACATTTCGACATTTTATTACTTATCAGTCTACTGCTTTAGTTGTCTTGTACTGATTCTCTTTTATAGATACTGTCATTTGACAAAAGTAATTTCTATATCGAAATTTTATTACAAGACGAAAACGTTCTTGTATAAATCTCAATTAAAAAGTATGTTAACATGGTCAAGCAAAGCAATTTTGAATTAAAAAAACCGACATATATAACAAATACAGAACGAAAAAGAAAAAAATCCAGATAAATAAATATACTTTCATATTAACCTATCACCTAGACATAACACAGTCTATAAAGATAACATAAAATATCACAGAACAGAACAATGTGAAAAAATGTTTTTATTTGAAGTCATACTTTTTTTTCTTTATCCTTTAAATATAATGTCTTCTGTGCCTGAAAAATTACCATCAGGTTTTGTTTATCTACATAATATTATACCTGATATTCAAGTTAGTTTACGATATGCAACTGAAGAAAATTTTATGGGATGCGTTGTTAATGGTTACTATTCAAATGTAGCAATTATGACAGAAGCAGCGGCTCTAGCTTTAAAACAAGCACAACAATTGGCTAAAGAAAATGGTTATGAATTAGTTATTTATGATAGTTATCGTCCACAAAAAAGTGTTAATCATTTTATTAAATGGAGTGAAGATCCAAATGATCTACAAATAAAAAAAGATCATTATTATCCTCGTATTAATAAAGAAGATTCATTTAAATTAGGATATATTGCTAGAAAATCTGGTCATACAAGAGGAAGTACAATTGATTTAACTATAATTCCAATTGGCAAATCTTTATTAAATCCTTTAGTGCCAATAAAAAGAATTCTTAATGATAATTCAACTATTTTATTTTTAGATGATGGAACTGTTGATATGGGTTCTTCATTTGATTTATTTGATGAAGCATCACATACCAATAGTAAACTTGTGAATGAAAATCATCAACAAATGAGAATGATGTTTAAAAGTATTATGGAAAAAGTTGGTTTTATTAATTATCAGAGAGAATGGTGGCATTATACACTTAAAAATGAACCATTTCCTGATGTATATTTTGATTTTGATGTTAAATCATCTTATTCTTCTTTTTAAAATTATTTTTCATGAAATTTCAAATATAGAAATTCATGTTTACATTTTTCATAATTCAATAGATAGATTTCATATTCAATCAATATGATATTATTTATTGAAGAAATTCTTTCAAAAAACTCGTGAATTTTTGAAAAATCAAAAAGAACATATTACATTTGTTCTAATATTTTATCAAAGAGCACTTAATGTAGTCTCTCCAGGATTAAAATGTGAAACATGATATAGCTATCGTTGTTGCTAATCACAGATGGATTACTTTATTCTATCAATTCTAGAACACATTTATTTACCATTCTTTTATTTAATCCTCCAGAAATGTAACACAGAAGTAGTTCTTTTATTATAACGAAACCTTATTCATATACGGTCTTAGATCGTATATGAACAACCTCTGTCACAATCTGTGACACAGGAGCAGGGACGTTGCTAAGATGTCTGTCATTGTCCGTGAAGGATGCAAATTTCTACCCTATGTATTACAACACTCCTTTTAGATCGTGTTCCACAAAAGAATATCTTGTCGATCATGTTTATCCGCCTACAAGAAAGTTTTGCTACGAATCGATAAGCTTATTCTTTTGCTTGAATGAATCGAACATAAATTTTATGAAGATACTTAGACTTTGCATAAATTGAATATTTATATTTTCAAATGTTTTTTGTTCCAGTTTACCTATAAAATTCTCACGGTCGAATAGTATACAACTATTCTGATGGACCATAATACTGTAATTAAATGAAATGTGAAAATAATTAAAAAAATACTACAAAATTTTTGCTTTTAATTCTAATAAGACATGAAAAGGTTTCGATTACTTTATACATGTTAAGCATTTATTTGAAGTGATTATAGTCACTACTTAGAATTTGAAAGGTAATAAATGGTAGTGATATACAATTGGCAAGCAATTCGGCGACTGATGAAATAATATTTGTATAAAAATTGTCCAGATCGTTCGAGACTAAATCCTAAAATGCAATAGAAGATCCAATGTCTTCTATTATATCAAAACATAAAACATTTGCAGGCAAGTTTCCTATTGTGTGTGTGTGTCCTTTATTTTTCACAAAAAACAATTTGAAGGATTTTGGAAGATATTTTTATGGTTTTAAAAGTGTAGAAGTAATAATTTTGACTTTATTTATTCAAGATTTTTCAACTGAAAATCCTAAAAACTAGACATATTTTGATGTAAATATACTAATTCAGTTTCCAATCTAGCAAGAAATCAATTAATTAACAGACGTCTTCTATGATCTTGAGCACATCGTTTCTCCAAGGGCACGATCTTCCATTGTCAAAAGGATTTTACAAGAGCTAATTTATCGTTCATTTATAGAAGACATCTTAATAACGAAGAATTAATACTTGACTTCTGAAATACCCTTTTCGCAAGTAATCGTATAATTAATGCCTCGTGTGGAGTATGCTAATGGTTAACAATTACTCTAATTCCAAGTTAGGATTTTGTCTTCACTAAAAAATTTAATGCTAAATTAAGAAACATGTTTGGTCGGAAATGTAATTAATATTTGATGCACTTTTAAGAAGTGAATTGAATTTAATGAACGAGATTGAAAAAGAATTTCCTTCATTAATTAGAAATAATGAATATGCCTCGATCAAGTCATATTATAAACACTAATAGTGACAAATACTTGGCATTATGCACTACAAATTACATCAAAATATAGACTGAAAAATAGACATGAAGAAAATAGTTTTTTAAGATTTTTTTTCTTTAATGTAGTATATAACCAGAACAATAAATCTCTTAGTAACAAATTTTAATAATTCATTTATGTATTATTGAGACAAGGCAGAGACTACAACTGATTTCGTGAAATACGTTAGAATTATGCATTTTTACTATATTTAACAGCAATTTTTAATTTCTGATTAATGGATTAAAATAGTAGGTTACCATACTTGTTGATTTAATTCGAAGTTAATGCAGCATTATTTTTCTGATGAAAATAAAGATTAGGAAATGAATGCAAAGTACATCAAGTCTGAAAGATGTCACTAAATGACGAAAATTGCTTTTCTTTTCAAAATTTATCAAAAAAGTTTTTTTAAAAATTCAATCAACGTAATTTTCATTAATGACTTAACTTTCCAACATAACGAACAATAATTAATAAGAATTTTAATTCGTTCAAATATTTCTGTATTTCATATGGCAATATAAACCAATGAAATCTGATCTGTCATGATTCATTCATTCATCAAACTACCTATCAAATTTTGAATTAAGAAATTACCTTTTACTTCTTTTTATTAATAATTATTCATAAAAATAATGCAACGTCGTTCTGTTCAACGTGTCGATCCACATTATAAACAAAAACGTACACTAAATAATATTAGTGTTCAAAAATCACGTGAAAAATCTCGTCGTGAATGTAAAGAAACAATGAAATCAATAGAACAATTAGAACAAGATAATGAACACTTACTAAAAAATTTACAAACATTAAAACAAGAATATGAAGAATTACGAAATTTATTTCAACAACATACTGGTATCGATATTGATCAAATGGCATCATCCACCATAACAAACACAACATCGGAATTATCAACATCATCAAAAGAAGAATCCAAAGAAAGTTCATCAAAACCAATATTAACAATAAATACAACTGAGGATCAATCATCATCAAGTAATCCACTAGATGCAAATAATCTGGATGGATCTGTTGTACTTATCAATGGAGTTCAATATAAAATTGTGAGCATTAATAAAAATTAATATTTTTTTTTCCACATCAGAAACAATATTTTATTTTATTTTTTATTTTTACTGTTAATAAATAATGAAGAATTGTCAACATCTGACAATATAAAAATAAAGTTTTTTGTTATTTGCTTAAATAATATTGAATTAAATAAACATGTTTGTACTGTCATTGCCAGGGTTCTCGATTACGGAAGATCCAAAATGTCTGATTTTCTGCCAATTTTTTACAGCATCGTGATAACTTTGGACAGAAACCGAATTTTGAAATACCATTGCCTTTCTCTGGCAGAAAATGAAATACAAATAAACAGACGATGTCATTACGAGATGAATAGAATTGTGAAATGACGGCTTGATTGCAGATCGTCTACTGTGGGAGGAACCTGATCACAGAGAATTTCGTTTACCACTCCTAGCACTTTGAGGATGGGAAGACTTTCTGCAAGAATTTTCAGCTCTTTCCACCCCTAAAAAATATCGACAGTCTTGGTCCTTATCGAAGTTTGAGTCAACCTGATCTCCCTTTTCTTGGAAATACTACGTTTGAACGAGTTAAAAATTTTTTTTTTAGATAATAAATACTTTATTGGAGCTGTATTTGTTATTTGATTTACTTGATATTATTTGTCCTTTCAACAAAAAAGTCAGAACACCAAACGAATCCTAAAAACATTTGTTTTATTTTTACTAGGACAAATTGTGCAAAAATCTGCCAAAAATAATGTGTAATATCTATGAAAACAGGTCTCAGCTTGATTTTTCTTTTTAGATCGGAGAAACACGAGCGATTCTGATAAACTTTGCTTCAGAACTTGATTTCCGGAAAAACTCGATAGAACGAAAAGATTTAAATTGCTTTCATTTAGAAAACATTTCAATGTATATGTGTTAATGAAAAAATTTTTTAAAAAATCGAGAAAATTGTGATTGTCATGTCTGGAAAAGGATGTATGTCCTTAAAACTGATTTCGAAAAAATTTCCGATCAGATATATTCTTTCTCACTATTGCATTTCGTTTAGGGAAGGAAGATTTTATATGGAAATTGTTCTCTAATATTCAATAGAGATAAATTATATTTAACAATGAAATTCTGTTTTTTATTTTAGTTCAATAAGGAAAATTAAATCAATTAAACAAAAAAAACTATCTACGAATACGTTGATAATAGAAAGATGAATTTATCGAATTTCTACTAACGAAGGAACACTCCTACTTGTCAATTTGCTTTCAAGTCAAGGCTGTATGCATCTATGGGCTTTAATAAGCTCTCAATATCCTGAAAAGAGTTCATGTCCGTAACTTATTTCTGCCGAGATATTTAATTTTTATTGTATTTTTTATCACAACGTCGAGATCTCCCGTCGAGTCACTTGAAAAATCGATTTTCGTCTTGAAACTTTTCATAGAAAGAAATCTCGATGAGACTAATTCATTTTGAAAATTTCCAACTTCTAGATTTTTTCTATCGTTAGTTGCGAGTATAAGATAAAATATTACTTTTCATATTGTGAAACACGATTTAAAAGAAATGTTGAAGTATATAGGGTAGAAATTCGTCTCCCCTCCTTCCAAAAATTGTAATTGACGTTGTTGATATACGATCAAAGACCGTATATCAATAATGGCTCATTAAAATATATTAAATACTTCTTTAATGTATTTCTGGAGGATTAAATAAAAAGACAGTGAAGAAATATGTCCCAACATAGACAGAATAAAACCATCTCCCTGTGATTAACAACAGCAGTTACATCGTGTTTCGCATTTTAATCTGGGAGGCATTACCCTAACAACTTTTTACAGATAGAAGCAATCACGACATTCGAAATCTTCAGAATTAACAAATCGTATGGAAAGCTTTCTTAATGCAAAGTTTTAAGTCAAGATTCAATTTTTCAAATGACATTGAAGACGACCAGAGCGTCGTGATAATAAAAAAAACGTAGTAAAAATTAAATACTTCGACAGAAATATGTTTACGAACATGAACTATTTTCAAGATATTGAGAGCTCATCAGAGTCTACACGATGCATATACTATCTATTTGGAAGCAAATTGTGACATGTGGGAATACTTCCTCGTGAACACCTATGAGACATTAACCTTTCGATAAGACGTAGTATTGTTAGAATATCATTTTTCATATGATAAAAATTTTTTGAGATCTAACATATGATTTAGGCACAGGTTAATGTATGGATCAATTTCATTTAAGAATGATCAGTAAAAAAAAATAATATTAGTTAAATTAATGTTGATTTTTATTAAAGTTATACACTAAAAAACTACAATTATGTTAACTCTTCAAAATCATGTAGAAATAATATAAGATATTCTTTTTTCATGTGCATTAATTTCAAATGTATAAACTCTATTTTGTTGAAAAGCGAAACCAAAATCTTTTATCATATAATCAGTTTAACTGACTAGTAATACTTACAGATAAGATTTTCGAGTTGAATGTCAAAATTTTATATGTCAAATAAGCATTTCTTTCATGTGCACAGTGAAATCTAATATACTTTTTTTTTGACTCTCTTCGAAAACAATGATTTTATTGAATAAATGTAGTCTGTCAAAAAAAAAAGAAAACATGTTCTTTACTATATCATATTGATTCATATTTTTCAATTCTGACAATAGCCTAGAATAGTTAAGATAGAAGTTTTTCTTTTTTTTTCGAATTTCAATATTCTTTTTTTGATCAAATATATAATTTTCATGACATACATTGACATATTCTCTTATCGTTTTTTGATTAATAAAGCTCAAATATCCTTGGAATTATTTCCAAAAGTAAATTCTTCTTTTTTTTTTTTATATCATATGGAATAAAATTGAATATTTTTCTTTCATTCGAAATAAAACATCTGTTCAACAAAAAAAAACAAAATATATGATGACAATTTACAAACAAAAAAAACAGATGTCATTAATTACTTTTGTTTTTTAATAATAATTCAGATTTATATCAATAAATAAATCTAAAACATCAAAATTTTAAATGATTTTTGCTTTTGCTTTATCCGTCAATATTCACTATGTGCCATTGAACATCCGTTTCCTGCATCATTTTGACCTTGTTCGATCACTATTGAATCGACTGAGCATATTTATTAGGTAGGCACCATTAAAAAAAAAATTGTGAGACTTGCTTTGTTGACATTTCTTTCTCTACTTGTCGTCGAATAATTAAAAGTAGGCAAATATCTCTCTATTTCTCGCCCTTTTTTTTTGTTCAAATAAAACACAGAGAGAGAGAGAGCGAGAGATTGGCGTCTAAAAAAGGAGCCAAAAGACGGCAAAGCGTCAATATTGGTCATGTTCGGATAATGATTGTCAAGAAAGATCTCGATTACAATAAAGAGAAAGAGGAAAAAAAGACGATGGCAAATCATTTTCATATGTAAAGAAGAATAATAAAAAAAAAAAGAAGAATAAGAAGACTTGACTTTTTTTAAATGTTTTAACAAGCAAAAAGAAACAATAATCACGGACTCTTATTAGACAGAGAAAATCTTATGAATATATCGAATAATGACAATTTCCCAACAAAATATTTAAATCAAATTTTTATTGAAAAACAAAAACCATTCATCAGATAATATATGAAGAATAATTAAGAAAATTTTAGTTATATATCTATTTACTCATTCGAAGGTCATCACACAATTAAATAGACCTTCTTAGAACATCTCGTCTTACATTTTTATTTTAGTATGACGATATTCGGAGTGACATTCACGACAGTCTTATCGATCTCTTCGTTGTACACGATACTTGACAATTGGCAAAAGTATTATACATTGAAAGAATTTCTAAGAAAAAAAATCTCTGCTTCTTTTTTTTTTTCAATTCTATGCAATTTGACAAAATCGATTAATACGAAAAAGTATTCATATTCATCATTAACTCTTTTGACTAACAACAAAGAAAGAGACGAATAAACTTTAAATAAAATAATCGTTAATTAAGAAAATATTTCCTATGAATTGTTGCTTCAGATTCTCAAGAAAAGAAAAAGAATCTAACAAGCTAATCACATACATAGTACAGTAAAGCACAAGACACAAGTGGATCTGCTTATCTTTTAATTGAATTAGGACAAGAGAGAAAAAGAAGAAAAGCACATCCGATTCGGATGCAATAATCAATAAGATAGGAGAGTGATGGTAGATATTGATCCATATATATATATATATATATGTACAACAGGGATGACATTCGACTCCTATGTAAAAAAAAAAGAAAGAATTCAATACACTTTCATCTGATGAAAAAAAAATGTGCGTTCCAGTGACATATTATATTCTATTTGAACATTTATTATTCAATTTGATTTTATTTTATATGATAAAACAATGAAATGACCGGAGAAGATGTCTCAAGTGTTGTCTGATCAGATTACTGATTCACTTTGTTTATAAGTGAAGCATTTTTCCTCATCATGTGTAAATATTCTGATCAAGGTTTATCATAGTATGTTTTCTCTATTTTTTATCCTTTCTGTTAGTCCTTGCTCGCAGAGAAAAGATCCCCAAGAATAAGTACAGATGTGTACATGCATCTAGATATATATATATAACATCGTTAGTAATAATATGTGGGATGAATCGATATCTGGCCTTTTGTCTCTTTCTTTTGCTTTTCCTTCGATATAGAGATATGTTAATTGACACGTATATTTGTTCAAGTGGCACTGCTATTGGCATTATTGGTCTTCGTGCATAAACAGGTGGTATTAGTGACACACTTACTTGAATAAGTTGATTATACATTGATATATGAAGAGCATGTGTTGGGTCAATACACCTGAAACTTTGCTCACCTATTCATTTAAGAGCAAAGGCTTGAGAAAAATTTCAGGCGTGCATTACCAACGCTTATCTACGTTAATATCTATAATAATAATAATAGTAATAATAATAATAATAGAACAAACTCACAACTTTATGTATGTATATATATATATGACATTTTATCTCTGTAGAATAACAGCAATAACTAGT